AATACTCAAAAAAGAGTCAAAGTTAAAGCAGACAGTGCAAGGTGAGTTTCCCATAGACGCCTGGAAGATTTTACCTTCATCTCAGTGATTCACAGCAGGACTGGTTGATGTGAGCGGTCACAGCCCCAGCCTCAGAGCACGTAGCCCAATGCAGCCCTAAGCAGCAGTAAATTTGGACTTAGACAAGTCCATGGGTGAATTTGATAATTTTTGCTCCCTCTATGGTTTAAGCTTCTGTTACAGGAGTCCATCTGCCACAGCAGGTGCTTGGCCTTCAAACAGCTAATGGTAGGACCTGTGCTCGGTAAGTGATGCAAGATACAGACACGCACAGACTGAGGCCGGGATGATGACCCACAAAAGACAGTCCTCTCTGCACAAACACCACAACACACCATGCAGAGCTATGGGTACTAAAGCAGTGTATGTATTTGGTCACTGCTGCAACCCTGGGCAGACTCCTACTGGCCTCAAAATCACTGTGATCCCATTTGGAGAGAGCAGAGCCAACACACTGTTTTGTACCGAGGACACTCATACTTGCATGTACGCACAAACATTAAGAATACAGTTCAGAATGCTACCAGGTGAAAGCAGGCAATTTCCATGTAAATTATTCCCAAACGCGGGCACACTTGCTCTCATTGCTCTCAGTAATTGTTCACAGGGGGTTTCCTGGCAGTTGTAGTTAATGTGCTTTCTGATGCTTGGCAAAAAAACAGGCGAAATGAATTGCAAAGCACAGTGCCCTTCGAGGTTGCGATAGACTTGTTGGCATCACAAGCAGTGCCTTGCCTGTATAATCCTGCCGGGAGCTCGGGCTTCCTGCTCCGCACGGCTGTGCTGTGTGAATCTCTCTGGTTCATGGAACTTGTCTGAGGAGCAAGACCAAGGTGCTGCCTATTTCCCTTTGTGGTTGGAGAGTCCTTCTACTGCCTAGCGATGGGGCTGGAGCAGTCCTGCGGATCCCGCCAAAGGCCATCCCGGATGCCGAGGGAGCCCCTTCCACACGGAGGCAGCAGGCGCTGGAGGAAGGAGCGTCTGTGGCACTTTGGGGACCTCAACAGAAAGCAGACGCGCAGCTTAGGAACAGGGCCCAAGGCAGATGTTCCTCAGTTCAACAACGTCTTAGCTACATTTTTCTACAGCCTAATGAAAAAAAGCATCTGAACAACAGTCTCCTTCCTGCGGCAAAGGGCCCTGTCTTTTCTGATAAAGGTGTTAACAGATATCCCCAAGAAACTAGTGGGAAGAAGTTTTTCAATGGTGGGATTGCTAATTGCTACTGAAAGTATTTTCAAAGCAGTAAATCAGCAATAGCTGCAGCTCCGCCCCAGAGAACCCAACACGGATTCGTTTGTCACGTTTCAACAATTTTTCTACTGTTCATACAGTCCGATTAATCGCTTAGCAGGCAGCCGAGCACCCACAGGCCTGAAAAGACAGTTCATTTCTTGTACCGCGGGCACCCCGTACTTTGTTGTGGGGTACAGCCACCCTCTTATTCACAGAGGAGGGCAGCAAAGAAATGGAGGGCAGCCCCTGAGCACAGCACCAAGGCGCTGGGGAGAGCCAGCCTTGTTTAAAGCACTGACCCTGCACTATCGTGTCTTACAGGAGGCTCTTCCACATACAGTTTCAGGCACTGATTCTGAGCAAAAAGGCAGTTCCTCATATATAAAAATACTCCGTCTGTCTCTGCCAAAGCAGCTGCTCGGATGGATGCCCTGTTTGCCAGTGTCGGTGGTGAGTGGCCCTGGGATCCTTCATGCAACCTCTTCTTTTCCCACTCATCGAGGAGATACAGCCTCAATTCCCTTTAACGCTGACCTCCCCAAGCATGCCAGGTTGACAAGCACAAAAATGCAGCTCCCGGTGTCAACTCCCCTCTCCCCAAACTCAGATGCTCAAGCAGAGGAGGCCCCGGACCCGGGCCCCCGGTTCCCTGGCCTGAGGGCGAAGCTGGGCCAGCGGGCAGCTGGTGCAGGCAGCCGAACTCGCTGCCACTGGCGGCCAGTGCTCCCAGCTGGCCAGGCACCCGGGCCAGGAATGCCAGGCGCCGGCGCGCTGCTCTGTTAGAGCTGGCACAACCCCAGTCTGGTCTGCACACAGCTGTAACTTCCCCCTGTTGCAGGGCATCTCTGGCAGGTACCGGTACCCAGGGCTCTGAAGTGCTACCAGTCGCTTGCTCAGACCAGACCATTGCACTGGAGGGGCCTTTGGGCTCCCTTCACACCGCAGGGGAAGCGACAGGAGCTGAAGCTGCAGCAGCAAATGCTGGGGAGGGAATCCAAGGTCGCTCGCTTGGCTTCTGGCACATTCAGGGCATTTCTGTCACCTTCTGGAAGCCATAAGAGATGGAAATTACGCTAAGAAGTAGCACTCGACTGCACATCGACCTTAACCAGACCCCCAGACCTGCTTCTTGCATAGGGCACGGGTTTATTTGCCAGTCCAGCTCACTCCACAAGAGACCTGCTTCCCTACAGTCTTTAAATCCTTGGAGCAGCTTTCCCTGCAGGAGCTAAGGTGCACCCTGCAGCCCGATTCAACACGGAGGGAAGTCGGGAGAGATTTCCCACTCACCTGGGAGTGCTGCAGTTACCCAGTGCTGCTCCCTTCTGTGTATCAGGTCTGGACCCATCCCAGCCCAGGGGATGAGCCCCACTTTGGCCTGAGGCATCTCACCCATCAGTGCCCCATCTGAAATGGTCTTCTATTCCGAGACTGCATTAGTCAATTTGATTTTTCCCCTCCTTCTCAGTCCCATTTTTTAGACATTAAAAGTTTGACAGTTATTGCTCTTGTTTACACTGAAAGGAAAAAAAATAAGTAAAAGCAGACCATTTAGAAAATGTCAAATGAATTGCCCCAAGTCATTGGTATCTGGGGATTTTAAATAATTTAAATTAATTGCATCCAGTTGGTTGCAATTAAGGGCTGGACGCTTGGCAGTTTCTTCTTCCCCATTTGACTCAACATACACAAGCAGCTGGATCAGCTCAGCACTTTATTTGGTTCCTGCCTTTACCTCATCCCATTTCTTGGCATTGCCCTCTCCTCAGGTCCCTGCCCGGGCTTTGGGAAGCCCCCACTGGAAGAGCTTGAAATAACTTGTGACAACAATAATTCAGGTTTTCCTTCCTTTTCTCCCAAACCACTTTGTGAATAGACACAGCGCAACAAGGAACCACCTCAGTCTTTGTGTTCATGGGAATAAAAGGGAATAAAAGAGATGTATTCCCTTTGAAAATCCATTCTGTGCCATCAAGTTGATGCACCCTTCTGCTAGCTCCTTCCCTGCTGCTGCGCGGGCATTACAGGTGCACGGGATATGCTGGGATGTGAATCAAAAGCGCGGGAGAAACCGCAGCTCCAGGAGCCGGGAGCGGCCTCGGCTGCATTGCCGGGAGCCGCGGCCCTGCCTGTGTTTTCCGAGTGCGCTCCCTTGGGAACAGAGCACAGACTGCTCCCTCGGGAACAGTCAGCAGTGGTGGGAACCCCACATCCCGCAGGGGCTCCAAATGCTCCTTTCTTTCGCCACGCGCAACACGGCAGCAGAGGATGCGGAGTAGCCGTGGGGGCCTCCTCGCGCCCCTTCCCCAGTCCCCGGCTGACATCTAGTGAACAGCCTCTAAACTGCACCCGACACAGCTGGAGGCGAGGGGGCCCTCAATGGGCAGCGCTCAGGGCAGCAGCGGCCACCAGCTGGGCACCTATCGGGACAGCGGGCACCCACTGGGATAGCGGTTCTGCCCCAGGAAAGCACCTGCTATTGCTCAGAGGTTGCACAAACTCAGCACAGCCCGATTCACGGGGACACCTCCACCTTGCAGAGCAGCTGGGCGAGATCAGAAGTGCGACATGGGGAAGATCAGGCTCAGGCTTGGCCTCTTTCCTCTCCCCGAGCACAAATTTGGAGAGCAAACTGAAAAGCCGTTAGCAGCAGCGGCAAGTGCAGCTCCCATCGCAGGCCTGTTCTGCTGCCAGGTGGCAGGAGCTGCTCGCAGCCATCTCACAGGTTCTGTCCTCAAACACCCTTTCGCAGCACGTCTTTGGCTAACAGCAGGTCTGAAAACCCAGACTGAGGAATAAAATCCCTGAGGACCAAGCTGTCTGCCTCCCAGCAGTGTCTGGAGCAGCGTGCAATGTCTACACAGCAATGAGGAAGCACGTAGCATTTGCAGGGAGCTCTTTTCCATTTTACAGTCTCCATCATCTGTTGCAAAACAGGGAGTGTGGTTTATGATCGCTATTAAGGTTGCCAGGCAACAGCACTGCAGATATCTGTGTCATCAGCTACACAAGCACCAGGTTTCAGAGGCCCTCAGTAGGAAGCCAGCCTGCCACTTTCCTCAAGCACATCCAACCCAGCCCCAACAACCCTCCTTACCACAAAGGACCAAATTCTGCCCCCTGGCAAGCAGTCAGAGAGGGTTCCTTCCATCCCACCGCAGACATCCCCTACAGTGACATGAAGGAAGGGGCTCCATCCTTCCTGCATTCCTCCCCCTTTCCAGAGGACACCTTTTTGTGGAGCTCCATGGAAGGGTGGGATAGGGATGGGATGGGCTCTCCGGCATTCACCTCTCCCACTGAGTGCTCTGACAACCAAAGCCTCCCACGCTGGCTGCAAAGCCCGGCTCCCTCCTGTTCAGTAGCTGGCGAGGCTTGTTGCAAGGGCTGCCACTGTGCAAGGACTCTTCTCTTGCAACAGGCCTTTCCACTCTTCACCTATGCTGAATTTATTCCAGTAAACGACCTTCTAGTTCAACGGTACCAACCTGGAGGTAGCAACACTGAGGCTTGCAGGACAACACTAAGCCCTAAATCTCTCCCTCCAAATTGCTCCTATGTTAAATGCAACTGAAACCAGAATAAAAGCTGCTAATAGTGACAAATGTAGGAATGAAGAGTCAAGAGGTCAAGTAAAACAACAGAGCATTTACAGTGACCCAACCCAAAGGCTTCTTCAGCCCGCGGACACGAGCCTGTCTTACCTGGTAGTAGTAGTCCACGTACTGCGGCTCATAGTGCTGAGGCTCAGAGTTTTCAGCAGACAGGACATCTTTTAGCAGCTCTTCACAGCCTGGCAAACAGAAGCAAAAGGGTTGAACTAAGTTCTCCTTCACGGAGGTTATGTGGACAATGGCAGGAGAAACACCAGTTTGTGCTTAACCTGCACACACAGCTTTGAAAGCTAGCCCTGGAATCAGTTTAAATGGTCATAACAGAGCCCTGCTTTTGATGCTACAGTAGGCATTTTGATTCTATCCACACAAATACACTGACCTGCTATGAAACCAAAAGCAAAATATTGCTTGGCTTGGCCAACTGTCCTGCAGGATAGAAACACAGCCCTAACCAACCCAAAACTTTGAAGACAAACACAAGATTTACAGGCCTGTCTGAGCCTACTTCTATTCTACATTAGTGCTAAAGTCAGTAGAGTTGTTTCCAATTCTCTCTGGTATAAGCAACAGAAGAGGCAATACATAAGTGTCTTAGCTCAGCTCCCAAGCAAATATTATGGAAGATTCGCGCGCCTCAGCACTGCTGAGGAATTGCTCCTTGCTGCTGTTACGGTGCTCCATGGTACACACAAACCCCAGGACAAATTCCCTTCAAGACGCCGCTCTGTGTGGAGCATCCGTGCTCGCAAGCAAACATCCCTGCCTTGCACCTGGAGACCCTCCGCCTCTGCATTTGCTTATTTGTTAACAAGCACAGCTGGAAAACTCAGTGCCTGTGTTTGCCTCAGTGCTTCCCTCATCTGAAAAGCTGAGATAAATATAGAAAAGCTCTGACTGCCAAATGTCTCGTTCCCCAGTAACCACCAGTGACTGCACTTGGCATGCAGGGCTGCAGAGGGCAGCAATATCCGGCCAAGTTATCTGATTTTGCAGCTATGGGCCTAAATCACAGGAAACCTCACCACACATTGTACACTATTCGACTTGGAAGCTTCAATTACCCAGTGGTATTTCCCTCTTCAGCCCCATCGCTAATGCAATAATGCAATATATTTGGCCACCACTCAGCCATCGGGTGAGCTGATTAACGTGAACAAGCACGGACTGCACAGCTTTCTACTGTTAGCTCATCCCCTCTCTGGGTTTCAAAATAAGGGAGCAGCATCTCTAGGGGATGGGATGTGTGGGAATGGGGTCCTGGCTGCGTCCACTTGAGGACAGTAACCTCATGGGCAGCATCAAGGTCCCAGTCTCCGGTGCCTCAAATCTAAACTTTGGTTGCAATGTCTTCTGCCCCCTCTTTACTCCTCAGTTCTCATCTGAAACTACTCCCGATCACATTGTTCCACCTTCCTCAGCCATCCATAGTTCCACAAGTGTGTTTAAAGAATAAAAAAATAAAAACTCTGTTGCTGTTTTCCCCTCTGAAGGTAGAAACCAGATCTCCCAGTAATGTCCTTGTCATTTTGGAAGGTTAGTTACTGGGAGGTTTACACCCAAGAAGGGGCCCAGTATAAACGGAGGACTGCATAAGCCTGGAGGGCCTCTGTGCATATGCTTTCTTATTACCAGAATATACTTTGGCTTGCAGCCTCGCAAGTGCCAGTGAGCTAAGTTGAAGTGCCACAGTCCAGACAGGAAAAAACAATAAAATCGAGGTTTATTCTGGCAAAATCCAGGATGGAAACATTAAGGTGCTGGACAGCAGTTTGTACAGAAGAGTAGTTCATTCTGGCACACACGGTGCTCTGCTACTAGTATCTCTCTTGAGGAGAAACATTCCTGTCTGGCCTTGCAGAACTGCCACGATGGATATTTCAAGCTCTGCAGCAACATGCACCCAAGGCTACAATCTGTCTGTATTAAATATATATATATATATTTTGCAAATAAGCTTAGAAAAACTTCCTGTCTACTTTAAGGACCTCCTGAACTAAGATGTCCCATTATTGCTATAATTTCATTTTCCAGGAAACAGTAAAACTGAAAGCCACTTATATGGCTGATTAGAGCTATTTCATTTGGATGCCTACATGAATCACAAGATCTTGCTGTGCTTGATCTATGGAAAGGCAAACTGAGGTTAACTTTGACTATCGTTTATTTTTCCATGCAATTCTGCTCTCTCTCCCCCTTGCTATGCTGGGAACCTTTCCCGCGGCACTGGCTCCATGCATGACAAAAGTGATCCCAAGTCACTGAAGGGGAAGACATGAAGCTTTGCATTTTTCCTTTGCTTTAGATGACTCTCCTTAGCAGAAATTTTTACAAATTTACCTTCAGTTTCATAAAAATAAATTGTTTTCAGACGCTAACAAATGGTCAATCTGCCAATCACAGCAAAGTGATTTCCTGCAAATGCTCCAAGAAGAAGATTTAACTCATATTGCATCAGGCAATTTTCATGGGCAATTAAGCAATTTTAATACTATAGGAAATCAAGTCTGGTTACCTAATTGAATGGAGCTGGCTCTTGGCATTTCTCCTAAGAGCAATAGCTTTTTACTTTATCAACTTTTGGATCTTTATTGGTGTATTAGACTTGTTTATGGCTTCAGGCTATATTTAGTAAAATTTAGTTGAGCCTTAAAGTACTCTGAAGTGCTTTTCAGAGGAACCAGCTTAAGTTCATCAAAGAGCTGTAGTGTTACTTATAACATGACAGTCGAGATCTTCATAGGTCCTACTCCACAGAGACATCCAGGTTCTGCTCCTATCAGTAAGATGTTCTTCCAGGAACACACAGATTCACCACATCACCTCCAACAGTGACATACAGTAAAGTCTGAGATCTACAGATGTGAGCCTAAAAGGTTATATATATTACAAATATTGGTATCTAGCAAATAAAGGTAAACTCCCCTTGTGTTGTGACTGCAACACATCCATCTCTCATTCTGCACTGCATCTGCAGGGTAAGGCTGGTACAAGACTTCTCAGCTGTGGAACTGCAAACTAGATTGTGAAGACTAGCGGAGATGGTCAAAACTCAGCACTGGTTCTGAGGGAAACTGGTACTTGGAAATAATGCTTTTTTAAAGCATCTGAATGGAAGTAGAAGGCATATTAAGAAAAATCTGCCATGCAACAGAAGAGCCAGAAGTACTTTGCTTTGGAATACTTTGTTTTGAAAAACTGTCAAATTTCATACTATATTATTTTACACTGTTTCATACTACAGATATCCTGTCACAGTATGAGCTAGCAGAACAGTCAACATCGTTTTTTCAAGCCTTGCTTTTAAGTTTTGCGTAAATCTAGATTCTTGGAATTTTCAAAATTACTTTTCTCTCTGAGGTCTGAGTATCTACTTTTTTAACTTTTATCTGCTCACAAAGCCAGAGTATTCTAGAAGTATTCCAGCCACCTGCAGTAGTCAGATGCCTGAAGATCCAGGGAAGCAGTGTCATGGATTTCTGAAGTCAGCTAATGGTCAAAAACACTGTTTTGGAGACTCAGAGGTTGCTGTCACTGCAGGTGATTCACCGCTGCGCTTCTACCACACAGGTAACAAGAGAGCTCCCACATCTCTTCATTTTCAAGAATCATAACAGGGCATAACTTAAATGTCCTTATTACTTCTAGAAGCCAGGGAAAAGCCTCTCTTTCTCCAGGAGAAAAAGAGGCTGCAGGAAGGCTGTAGGAGGCTGTCTGAAAAAGTCAGTAACTCTGCCAAAGCAGGAAGACTCAATACTGCAGCAATGATCTGTGCTCCCACCACAACATTCACCACTCAGCAAGTTCTCTGCAGTGGTCAGTGCTGCTTTCACAGGTAAAGCTACAAGCTGGAATACGTCTGCCCTACGCTTTAATCCCTCATTAATTGGCATTTGTACTGCAGCAACCCCGCAAGCTGCAGCAGCAAGGTCAGTAGGGGGAGCTCACCCTTCATTTGTTGGAGTTTGGGTTTTTTCAAGCAGAATATCAAAGCAGAGAGACTATTAGAAAGGCAACAGAATTCCTAAAATAGAAGGAACAGGTCAGACTTAATTAGAGCCTGCTAAATAGATCAAGAATCAGGTCCTGCAAACATGTCTGGCTGCAGGACTTAACCAGCCTGCACAGCATATTAAAAATAATAGTTTCATTCAAATCTCTGAGTATCACAAGGGGCAGCAAATATTTATTGGATCAGTAGAATAAATTCAGTAGAGCAAAAACTGCCACGGACTCCACAGAGCAAACAGCAATGGATCCTACACTGACAGTGCTGAAATTGATGGGAATTGGCTTTTGGGTGAAGTTCTCAAAGTCTCGAAGCTGGGTCACTTCCTCAGACCATTCTGGCTTTGACACAACCAATGCATCCAGCACTATGCATTGCATATTCAGCTGTGTGTGGCTGTAGCTGGAGACCAATATGACTTTCCTGATGTGAGGTGAGCAATGGCGGTTGGTTATCAAGGGATGCCAGGAAAGTTTGCACAGTGCCTTATCAGAGCAGCTGCTCCTGGCAAGCAGAGAAACATTACTGAAACTACCATGGGAATTTTTAATAAATATGTACATACCTTTGATAGCAAAAACTCCATGACAGAAGTCCTTGAAATTGATTCTTCCCAAGTCATTTGGGTCCAAGTACTTCGTCAATTTTTCCACCTAAAAAACAAAGATCATAAAATATTTCTTGAGCTTGGTGGGTCAACCCTCTCCCCATTGCTCCATAGCTTCCAAAAAGACACTCAGTGAAAGAGTTATCTGCAATGTTCATTTGGCAAACAGCTCTGCGTGCAGCAGTCACATCCCACAGCTGGATTCTCACGTGTCCAGCCCAGCGCACTCTCCAACCAAGCCTTGTGGAGTGAGACACGGCACCTCTCTCCAGCACGGATCTCAGCAGGTTCATAAGGGGTGAATCTGTGGCAGAGCCTTTCACCTCTGAGAGGGTCCCTAGGGGCACGTGTGGATACGTAGCCTACAGGAACTTTGAACCGGAGTGGTCAAAAAGTTCTTCGGGAAGAAGGCACAGATGAAGACATGCACAACACACAGTCTCACTCCCTGAACAAGCTAGATCAGCTTAGTGGAAATTCATTAGGAACTCTGGACTAAAAAAAAAGCTCCTTTGCCACAATAGAGAATACAAGTTTCTCGAAGAAAATGCAATATTCATAATATGAACAGATTCATGTGTGAGAAACTGATTCTGTTCAGCACCACACGCAAACAAGCAATGCTCTCACCGCTCATCACCTCGGCGGTTCAGCATTTCTGAACACTGTCTACAGTAATATGAGATTACACTGAATTGAAACACAGTCCCCACAAAGTGTTTGCCTTGGAGAAGGTCTGGCAGGGTTTTCAGGAGGCTTTTGAGAAAGGAAAGCGAACTGGAAGGGAGAAGCTGTTCCGTGTCACTGTGCCTAGGGTAAAGGAAGTGAGAGGGGCACCCCAGGAGCACGAGGCTGAGGAGGGCGAGCGGCAGAGGTGGGTGCAATGCAGGGACCTCTGGCTGCTGCTGTCCCCTGCATCCCAAGATTGCAGAGTGACACTTGCTGCTCACAGGCACCCATGCAGGCTGTTGACCTTGAGAGGGGCCCGGGGATCCCTGTGGGATAAACGAGGGCAGGGAGCAAACACGAGGCACGTAGGATGCTGCACAACCCAGCAGCCATAGCGCAGGCTCATGCGTGACAGCCTGAGCAGCAACAAAAGCGCTGCTGGAAGGATACGCAGCAAAGGAATCTGTGTGACCCAGTTTCTCGGGTTTGGGTTTTTATTTTTTTGCTTTTTACGTGCCAGCAAACACCTCGCACTTTCTTAAAATCCTCCGGCTAAGGCACCAATGCGTGTGCACAACACCCAAAGGCCTTGCTGTGAGCAAGCAAACCTAGAGCTACCATCGGCATGTGCACGGGGAGCCCTTCCGCATGGTGCCCCCGTGGAGCCCTGTCCTTCCTCCAAGGCTCTGCTTCAGCAAAACTCCTCAGGGGATAGGTGACTTCTGAGGCAAACGGGCCACAAAACAGCGCCCTGTGTCCTCAGCATGGGTGTCCTCACCTGCGAGCAGAGCGATGGCCACGTTGGCTTGTTGACCATCTCCGTAGAAAGGGCAGATAAGGAGTTGCAGGGTGAGACAGGAGCTTGCGACGGGTCAGATACTTCCCTGCAATTTCCTCATGGCAGGAGCGGGTGCATGTGGCTGGCAGCCGCGAGCCAGAACCATGGACAGCTCGGGAAGGCTCTGGGCGCTCGAAGGGAGCAGAAGAGCTGCTGCAGAGCTCCTGCGAGCCGGAGAGCACCGCTGCAACCGCTGACAGGCAGCGCTGCTGCAGTGACTAACGGGCAGCACCGCTGCAACCGCTGACGGGCAGCTCCTCTGCAGTGACTAACGGGCAGCACTGCTGCAACCGCTGACGGGCAGCTCCTCTGCAGTGACTAACGGGCAGCACCGCTGCGCAGGGCGCTGCTCCAGCTGAGGACGCAGTGCCGGAGCAGGAGGCACAGGACACACTGCAGGCTGCAGCGCAGCCCCGCGCAGGGCACTGAACCTCCTGGGCACTCACAGGGCTGCCAGGACCTCAGGCCCCAATGCACGGGCCGGGGCCACCACAGAGCCACGCGACAGGAGCCTCAGTCACCCTGTAATCTGATCGCTCGCTTGCTTTGTGTCAACACTCAGCATAAGACCTGAGGAATCCAAACAGAGGAACAGGAGGAGACGATACCACCACTGACAAAGCAGTAAATTAGCTGTATAGGAGAAGGCAAGCAAGAAAGACTGAAAGCAACATTCCCCCCAAGTCTTGGCAGGTTTATTCTAGCCTGTCGGGGAGAAGCACAGGATATCCCTGATGAGCAGCTCTGATCTCTGCTCAGATACAGATTTTAAGTATCACCCCTTCCACACACAAATTACATCAGCATGTTTTATTCTGGATTGTCAAAAGACGAAATTCACATTTTATATTCCAACAGTCAGCGGACCTTCCTTCCCACTGATCTTCTAATTAATTCACTGCTTGATTTTAGCTCGGATTTTAGAATCACTCTAAAGAAAGAACAAGCTCCTGCATTTTGATTTACATCAGCAGATGATACTTTCCTGTTTCCAAACGTTGCTGCTTCACCAGAAACCGTGGTGTGGATTTAATGCATAGAAGACTAACTGGAAATCCTTCCCGAAACCAATTAAGCAGAGCCACCGGTGACCTAGGAAAGCCGGGTCACTGCTGGCCCTGCTCTGTGCAAACAGCACAGATGTTACAGCGAGACGAAGCAGCAGCAATTCCTTTATCCAGGCTCTTCTGCTTGGACACACTGAAAGCAGCTTCCAGGCATGGCAGGAAGGCTGAGAGCAGCGAGTTCACAGCGGGAATCTTCCCGACCGCTGTGTCGGCTGGTGCAAGTCAGCCTGGTCCCAAAGGCTCTGATGCAAAAGTGCATGGTCACCAGCTGAGCATCTGTTCCCCTATGGATATAGCAAAAGATTTAATCTAATCAGACAACAGTCTTGTAGGTTACAAGGTCAGCCTGTAACTCTGACCAACAGCAAGCTCCCAACAAAGCAATCTAAGCAAACACCCCTTGCAAGGCTGCTTTGGAGGATCCTGTCTCCTGTAGGCCTGTGGCTGGGAGACATCAAACTGGGCTCCAGGTTTTGATGTATGGATTCCTGCAGTCAGCTCTGCAGCCTCTGTAAGGTAATATATAGTGCTTTATATATGCTATAAGGTGCTATAAGGCTATAGTGGCACTGGGTGTCCCCAGGGACTTTGTCACTGCAGGCTTTGGATAGTTGATTCTATGATTTTAGTGGCCAGTTTTTCAGTCACCTACACTTACATTTTAAAAATCAAATTAGGACTGGATAGGCTTGGGTATGTGCTTTATGGAGGGACAGAGAATACACATATTTAGGTTTAAGCAGTGTCCTTACAGGAAGTGATAGTATCACTAAGCTTCAGTCTAAGCACTAGTCTAAGTGCTTCAGTCTAAGCACTAAATGCTTCAGTCACCAGTTTCCCTAAATCCAATTTTGCAGGTTTTCTGTTAAAATTTTGTAATGCAAATAACTGACATGAGCACAAGAGAGATGAAGAATTTCCCAAACAGCTGGGGGAATTACCCTCAACGTGGGCAGTTGGGCTGGCAGCTGCGGGGGGCTGCCTGACCAGAGAGTCACAAGCCACAGACAGAGTATAAATCATTTGGGCTTTGGGAAACACCTGAGGATGCTCAAACATTCGGGCCCGGCTGCATAACGGACTCGGTTGAACGGGTGATTATCCTTTCAGCACAAACACGTTTCTCCGTTGCACTGAGAGGTCACTTCAGGCAACACGACCGCCTTCCCTGCCACGTATCCCAGCTATGCTGCGTCGCAACGTGATGTTTGCTGCTTCCTGAAGGGTAAGAGGAGCCTCGGGACACCCTAAAGACCTCTGCAATGAGGATAACGTCTATGTGTAAGGGATGAGGCACAGAGTGAAGGAGAGCTCTGAAACCAGCACTGCCCGAGGCAGAGGTGCATGTCCGTGAGCAGGAATTCGCAGGCAAAGCAGTGCACAAGGTGAGACTGGATATTCTTGGTGTCTGCAGAGCCACGGGAGAAACCCACAGTCAGGCCAGGGGGGCACTCGGAGATTTGCCTGAAAGGCTTTTACGGGTAATAAGCGCTGTGCTATTTTCGTGCCCGCAGACATCATAGCTGTGCTCATTTCCTTCAGCAGGGGTTTCAGACAGTGTCCTGCTGCACAACCCTGAAATCAGGAGCCTTCAAAAAACCTCCTCTTTGTACTGAATTTCAAGTGGCCTAAAAATTGCAGGGGAAGGAGGGCATTTTTCTTTGAACTCCATCTGTCATTTGGTTTGAACCTTACCACTGGAACGAAGCAGGCGAGGCAGTTGGCTTGCTGAAACACTACCATCCTTTTGGATTTTTGTGCTGTTGGAGAAACAGGAAAAGATTTGACTTTCGGCAAAGTCACACAACTCAGCAGCCCAGGATGCTGTCTGAGATGAGGAGGCCCTCGTGACGGCTGCCCTAGGGCATAAACTTCCAGTGAAAGGAGACAGAAGCTGGAAAGGCCGCGAGGCGGAATTAGAGAGGTTCCGACAGGACATGGAGAGCTCATGCCCATTTTAAGATTCTGGCCCTTCCACAACTGCCTAAGAGACACAGGTTTGCACCTTCACAGCGCTTTTCACCCTCCCTTTACAGACTACAACAGTTCACAGCCTTCTACCTTCTCCTTCTAAATAACCTCCAAATGTTGAATCTAACTATTAGATCCCTGAAGCGCTCCTGCTAGGAACAACCTGTCAAGGCAGAGCCGTCCTGCTTAACCAGCACCCAGGGGACTGGCCGGGGGACATCAGCACTAAAGAAGCTGCCTGGCTCCTCACCCACAGCTACTCTGAGTTTGCATCCACCGACTGCAACTAAATACAGAGCCACGATGATGACAACTGGATGCATCTGGAAGGTCTGGGTTACAGCTCTGCTCACGCTGCCGCCGGACGCGCCACCAACAGCCCGGGGCTCTCCCCACAGCCAGCTCTCCAGCCCGCGACACCCAGCACATCCGCAGGGCTCCGAATCCCGGGGGCAGCGAGCGGAGCCTGTCCTGCCAGGCTGTTCTGGCTGCTGCGTACTG